TTATATAAAACTTTTGTTTCTGTTCAATCTTGCTTTGTCCTTTTTGTCCATATTATATTACAATATTTTGAACTTTAAAGTATAACTTTAGTTATACACGGGATAGACACCACTGACCGTATCCAACCAGTCCGGTGCTGATTTCAGGCTAGTGGTTTCCGCAAAATGAATAGATTTTGGTAGAAAACAACTAGCCCCTCTGGATTTTCGCTAGCCTCGGACTAACGGGTCAGTGGCCGGGGCTAACCCTGTATACATTCTTTCCAGAAGAATCCTAATTGTCACCAGTGATTGATGTATACATGGAGATTACTACACGAGTATCTGACAGGCACGAGTTCAGTAATCTGTAATCCCTAAACTCGCACCTTTTTAGCATCGAATCGATGCATTTTGTCTATTCTTATGATAGATCGCAGTGACGCATTAATACATAACACCACGGCCGTGAGTGACGTCAACGGATGTACTGCTTACTGCTCATAAATTATATAACCCTACACGAAAAGGTTTCCACCATATCTGTGGATTATCAAGGCGATGATTGTAATGCAAACTAGGTAAGATCAATGAACACGCTGGAGTTTATAATTTTTACCTCTTGAAAGGAAATTACCGAATACGTACCACAATGTTTACTTCCGTATGACATCACTACTGGTGTTTGGTTGGTTGGTTGTTTAACGCCGCACTCAGCAATATTCCAGCTATATGACGGCGGTCTGTAAATAATCGAGTCTGGACCAGACAATCCAGTGATTGATATCACGAGCATCGATCCACGCAATTGGGATCGATGACCTACATCAACCAAGTCAGCGAGCCTGACCACCAGATCCCTTAAGTCGCATAAGCATAGTCGCCTTTTACGACCTATTCTACCCCGGATCTTCACGGGTCCCTCTTATAGGGACCACTTACATAATCTAGACATTATGATTTAACTAATAATTATTGCCTTAGAGACTTGTGCAAGTCTAGTTAGATGTCTGTTCATTTCTAAGCATGGATAAACCAGACTAACGTCTGATTGTCAAGTGCTGATACAAGATGAGACCACATTCACGGTCCATGACGACACATAGTCCAGTGCACACAGAAAGTCAAGCCTCAATTCTTTGACCTAAGAGTGAACTTTTAACTCAATGGCTAGACAATAGCTTAGCCAAAGTTTATATCCGTCTGCGCAACGAGGAAGGAGTTCTGCACTTGATGTGTATAGTATAGCTGATTGACACACCAACAAATCACGGTCACCAGTGTGGACAGAATCCTCCCGCGGCTCTCAAGTGCATTGTTTTATCATGATGGTGACAGAAGAGATATGACAGGGTTGTTTAGCATGGGAAGTAGTCTTAGATCATTCGCAAATATAGTGCATGACCTGGCTTATTTATACGGTACACACTTAAAACTGCACAACAGGCGCAGACGCTTGTAACTTCTGAGGTGAGGTGAAATTGGGTTTAACGTCGCATCCAAGATTATTGCACTTATATAGCGACGTGCATGCACGTGTGTGTGTGTGGGGGGGGGGGGGGGGGGGGGGGGGGCTGCTTGTACTAGTCCGGACTGATGCCGATTTGTAGTGCTAAAGTACTCATAGGAAATGGAAAAAAACCTGTTTTTTCGATCTTAGATTTTAAATAAATGCAGTTAATATACAAAATTCAAACAACTCAATTAGTACTAATTGGGCCTTGGCACAAATACAGCGTATCAAAGTTTTTTATGTCTTTTTACACGTAAAAGTGTGTAAAAATATGAACAAAACAGACTATTGTGAAACTGAGCATAACCAGGTGTTAGTAGATCAAGGTGAATGTCCATGACCTATGACACCTTGACAGATAAAAAAAAAGGTGCTTGAAACCCACGTGCATGTGATTTGTCAGTGGTTAGTGATTTGTGAGTGGCATTGTGGGATAGTGAATCATCGTCAACATATCAGAACGTAAAAGAAACATATTCCCTTCTCAAACAACATTTTACATGTCGTTATTATTATGTACATTAACATAGCTGTTATTTTTATTGTTGTTTTGATTACTTTTTTTCCAGGCTAATTTGCATATGCCTATAGCCTGTTTCTGCCATGTCAATTTGGACTTAGTTTTATTTTTGAATGTTGAAAGTGCCTACAAATTACCTCCTGTAAAGTACATTTTGTATTGAGCACTGAGATAAAACTAGCAAATCCAGACTAGTACTTTTCCAGTTGTTTTGTTATTTCGTATTTACATCTACGTAATGCTTTGTGTCGATTATTAAATCCAGCAAAACAGTTTTTTTCATGTCCATGAGTACTTTTTTTAGCACACTGAGATACCATGCCGCAGTTTAACATGAATACCCCACTCAGATACAGTATACTGACTCCGAGCCGACCAGTCCTTTTTTTGGTATGACGCGTCTGGGGATCGAACCCGGACCTTCCGCTCTCCGGGCGGACGCTCTACCACTAGACCATGGAAGCGGTCTGTAACTTCTGAAGGTCCCTGGATCACAATATAATCACTCGCATTTAATTACACGCAACATATATAAAATCTATGTCTTAATTGCTGCTGCCTTTGTTTGTTTGTTTGTTGTTTAACGCCGCAATCAGTAAAATTACAGCTATATGACTGCGGTATGTAAATATTCGTGTCTGGACCAGACACCTCAGCGAATACTGGTTGATTTACCGCCACACCCAGCTAAATGACAGAGGTCTGTAATAATAATGTCAGACAATACAGTGATTGACATCATGAGCATCGATCCACGCAATTGGGAGACGATGACCTGCATCAACCAAGTCAGCGAGCCTGACCACCCGATCCTGTCGGCAAGGGTGACGACCTCTGGGAGAGTATTTGTGCATGTGAGGTGAGGTGAAATGAGGTTTAACGTCGCGTCCAAGATTATTGCACTTATATAGCGACGTGCATGTACGTGTGTGTGTTTGTTTGGCTGCTTGTACTAGTCCGGACTGATGCCGATTTATAGTGCTAGCTCACTGAGATACCATGCCGCAGTTTAGCATGAATAGCCCACTCAGACACAGTATACTGACTCCGAGCCGACCAGTCCTTGTTTTAGCCCCTTAATGCCGAGCGCCAGACAGGGTGACAACAAGTACCATCTTTTTACGTCTTTTGGTATGACGCGGTCGGGGATCGAACGCCGGACCTTCCGCTCTCCGGGCGGACGCTCTACCACTGGACCAGGGAGGCGGTTTGTGCATGTGAAGACATGTTCCTAGATATGTTGCGATGTCACTTCTTTTGTCGGAACATAGTTTGCCAAACTTTGTGATTGATGGTTGACATTGATTTTCATGACAAAAAAGTCCTCAAGCTTGTCACTGCGCGTTTAACAGCCAAGGTATAGGCGTGAGACAAGAGCGAATTCACTTTTTCAGATGGGAAAGCATGATTTTTTTTCTTACCACAAAACTACCTATCTTGAATTTCTCTTCCGTAGTAGGATGTTTCGATGCTAGTGCAGTAATGCCGCTCAAATGCACTGAAAGCCAACAGGCATAATTAATATTGGTTGGTTTGTTGTTTAACGACGCACTCAGCAATATTCCAGCTATATGACGGCGGTCTGTACATATTCGAGTCTGGACCAGACAATACAGTGATTGATATCATCAGCATCGATCCACGCAATTGGGGTCGATGACATGTGATGCATCAACCAAGTCATCGGATGTACTGCTTACTGATCATAAATTATATAACCCTACACAAAAAGGTTTCCACCATATCTGTGGATTATCAAGGCGATGATTGTAATGCAAACTAGGTAAGATCAAAGAACACGCCGGAGTTCATAATTTTAACCTCAAAGAAATTAACACATATGTACAACAACGGTTGGTTGGTTGTTTAACGCCGCACTCAGCAATATTCCAGCTATATGACGGCGGTCTGTAAATAATCGAGTCTGGACCAGACAATCCAGTGATTAATATCATGAGCATCGATCCACTCAATTGGGATCGATGACATGCATCATCCAAGTCAGCGAGCGTGACCACCCGATCCCGTTAGTCGCCTTTTACGACAAGCATAGTCGGCTTTTACGGCAAGTATGGGTTTCTGAAGACCTGGATTCACCTTATGTAGAGTGTGTTTGATTCCTTGCAAAGGAATTCTAATCATGGCTACTGATTATAAACCCTCCGGGAAAAAGAAGAAGCAAAGGACACGAGTCCACTGGTATGTATTTTCAATGAATTATCTCACATAACAGACAGAAATCATTCCTCCATGGCGGCCATATTGGGTTTGCGGAAACACTGGAGGTGTGTGTGTGTGTGGGGGGAGGGGGGGGGGGGGGGGGGGGGGGGGACGTAGAGGACGCCCTCTTCAAGTGGTTTCAAGCCGTGAGAAGCGAAAACATTAGCTTAGTGGTCCGTTACTGCAGACCAAAGCTGGCGAACTTGCAGTGAAATTAGGCCATGAAGATTTCACGTGTAACACCGCAATTACGTGTATAGTGTTTTGTCTTATCCAAGATGGCGGACGTTTCCGAGCGAAAACGTGTATAACGAACAACGGATATAACGAACTGATTTCTCTGGTCTCTTGTAGTTCGTTATATCCGTGTTATACTGTATTTGGATTGCCTACAACTGTGCAAAGTTTCATGCTTTCAAATCAAAGAGCTCATTTGTTCACAAAAAGAATAATTTTGTCTTACACCATTTCAATTTTTTAAAATTAACAAAAATAACAACAAAATCTAACACTATTTTTTAAACAAATACTAAAGGTATTCATAAACTAAAGTTAATTTATATTTCAATATATTTTGTCAAAAACATTGAAAGATATAACTATTTCAAGAGAGTAAGTCCTAAAACTTGTCTGGCGGTCATTTTTTTTTCTAATCCTGAAATGATGGCAACATCTATACCATCTGCCAAGTTTCATGCTTTTATGACTAAGTGCACAATTGACCCTATATCAGTAAGGAAACGACTGGACTAGAGTTAAAAGCATTATGCACATCCTGGCAACAATGTCTGCCACCACAATGTGTTTCCTGTGGGGTAATCAACAGTTTGATGCGACAGTTCATTGCTTCAGTACACTGCTACAACGAACGGTGTAAGTAGGAGTTTTCCGTTACACTGCCGGTATGTATAACTATATCACTCAAACACGCCATGGGACTCATTTATCAAATGATTTGTTCATCACTATGTGTTTAAATATGACAGTAATGCGTATAACATGATAAATGTGGTCCAATCGAGCATGCTTTTGCTACGAAGATTTCAAAAGGTTTTTGATTAGGGCTTCAAAGTTTTGTTGTAGTCACGCGGATGAAAATTTCAAAATATGAAGCACAAGTGACAAAGATTATGTCCGATGCATTTCCCAATTTTTACTTTTGACTTACCATGTTAGCGTGTTTGAACGCGTTTGAACGCGTTTATGAAAGCCATCGCCGTGAATTGTCCAAAAACTGTCGGCCTTGTGTGAGTAATTCTTTATTACTCCGGAAATACAAGAATTATGACACTCGTTTTCCTAAAGTCAGTATGACACACATGCTCGTATAACAATCTCTATAGGGATCAGAAATTATATTTAGTTGTCCATTAAACGCTTCATGCGCATGAAGGTAACGTATCGGTATTTGAAACGCTGCATGCAAAAGATACTTGATGACTGTGTTCTTTATTGCAAACCTAGCCACGATTACACTACACTACATGATTGCTGAAATGAGGTGCTTATTAAAGAAATAAACGACTCGTGATCGTTGTTTATCGTACAATAAAACACTGCAGGGAGAATCAACCATGAAGGGCGCATCCCCGAGTGTTTTATTTCTTCCTGCAGTGTTTTGTTGTACGATAAACAACGACCATGAGTCGTTTATTTCTTATATGAGATATAAACATTATGAACAGCCTCTTTAAGGATGATGATAATGTGTACAAACTCCCTCAATGATGACCCCCTCAATAGAATCCGACATCGGCAATGTCGGACAAGTCCATTTTATAAACAGGAGGGTATTTCCCGCATAGTGTCCCAATCCTCACGTGGGTTACCTATACCTATTTCTCCCAATACCGAATGTCATATCTCATCCGCTTTTGGATGCGATCGGTCGACCATCGCGCTTGTCTACATTTTCCAGCTACATTTATGGGGTAGAACTCACTATACACTTCCCTATCAAAATTGACCTCATCAAGTTGCGAGTAGGATCTCCAGAAATGGCGCCATGATAGAACAATGTTTTATCCTGAAATAAACAACGCTTCGTTCTTCATTGTCCTTTGAGTCATCAAAACAATAGACTTCTTTCAGTGACGTTTCCTGGTGGGTTTGACATATCATTTGACGTTTGTTTCATCATTACCCCTCATTTCTAGGGGCTGAATTCTATTTTTTTCTGAAAAGAGAGCTGAGATTTTGTTTTTACGGCATATTTCAAATCCAAGCTATGGAAAGGATGTTAAAATGTACTTACTAATCACTACAGCATATTAACTGTACAGATGTAGGTGATTTTGATACAGAACAATGAAAATAGCAGTATAATATAGCATTTTATAAAATAATATATAAAAGACCATTTTTTACAACACCATGTGTAGCAACACCCAGTCAACTTGACATGTTGTACTCTCATCTACTTGAGGAATGTACTTTTCAATTACTAAGAGTAGCATAACTTTTTATGTAGAGTGATGATGTAAAGTCCAAACCCGGAATAAAAGTACAAAAGGGTTGAGAATGAATCGCACAACCACAACCACAACAGTTTGCTGAGTAATGCACGTGCTACATTAGACCCGTACTGATCCGGGGTAGAATGGGTCTTCAGCAACCCATGCTTGCCGTAAAAGGCGACTATGCTTGTCGTAAGAGGCGACTAACGGATCGGGTGGTCAGGCTCGCTGACTTGGTTGATGCATGTCATCGATCCCAGTTGTGTGGATCGATGCTGATGATGTCAATCACTGGATTGTCTGGTCCAGACTCGGTTATTTACAGACAGCCGTCATATAGCTGGAATATTGCTGAGTGCGGCGTAAACAATAGACAAACCAAACAAAAAAACGTGCTACATTATCCAGAGGAACTTGAGTTTCGCGTGAAACTGTTGCTGCACGTGCAGCATGCCAGCCTACAAAGAAACGGATATAAAAGGAATGCTGTACTGTTCATTTACTCCCAAACCAAAGATTTAATGGTACCTCCTTGTCGACGTCATTGGTGAGGCAGGCCTTGGCCAAGACTAGCACCATAACAATACCCCTGAACGTCGTGGAGCTTTTGTTCCCCAAAAGCATTAAAAAAAATATTGGACGTCCGAGTACACAGTAAAATGCATTTCTCCGATCACAAAGATCAGTTTTTGTCTCAGATTGGTCAGAATAAGGACACACTCACTTACATCAAAACGCAGCCATGAGGAAAGAATGTTCCCGACAGGTGCAAAAAATGTGTGCAGCCAATACCATTCAGCCCAGTACTTCTGAACATGCTGAATGGCACTCTCCTATTGCCATGGTCAAAAAGCGTGATAGCTCGCATACCGCTTTGTCGTATATTATAGACTCCTCAATCCAGTTACCTATATTTTTCCTTCTACCAACTCTGCTAATATTTTTGTGTGCTTGATTGTGCTTGTGGCCTTATTGCAAATACCATTCCATCCAGATGCAAAACACAAGTCGGCCAAAATTACACCAGATGGTGTTTTTGGATGGAATCGCCTACCTTTCGGCCTCCAAAAAACTCCAATGGCATGATATTAATCACTGGATTGTCTGGTCCAGACTCGATTATTTACAGACCGCCGTCATATAGCTGGAATATTGCGGAGTGCGGCGTTAAACAACCAACCAACCCAATCGCGTGGGTCGATGCTCATGATGTCAATCACTGGATTGTTTGGTCCAGATTCGATTATTTACAGACCGCCGCCTTACAGCTAGAATATTGTTGAGTGCGGCGTTAAACAAAACACTCTAAAACCAAGCAAATGTAAATTTGCGACAAAACAAGCTACCTACTTACGGCACATCTTCAGCAAAGATGGCATCCATGTCGATCCTTCGAAAATAGATTCAGCCACACAGATCCCACCCTCTAAAAATGTCCATGACGTGTGTCATTTCTTAGATTTGGCTTCGTATTATCACAGGGTATGAAACTCCCAAAAATTTCAGCCAGACCACAGGACTGGCTAGCTGAAATACTTGCCAGCCCTGACCAAAACCTGCCTGCCCACTATAATCATATGTTTCTCAGGATAAGCTAACGGGGTTTCTTTTTGGTTACATTTTATCATTCATCTTTACATGTGAATTAATGATTATCATCGGGAAATATTTAGAATATTGTCACATATTAAATATAACCCGACCGTCGGGCAGGGGGATTTGAAAATCTGGCAGCCCGAGTTGAAATCAACCCGTTTCGGACGGTCGGGCAGGCAGGTATTTCGAACACTGATTATCACAAATTTGTAGCAAACCTTTCTGGCATCGCCTCCCCTCTATACAACCTTTGGAAAAAAGACGCGTCTTTCGAAAAGTCCAACAATTGCCAACAGGCATTCGAAAAGCTTAAAGACGACGCCCTTACAACAGCCCTAATCCTTGCATATTCCGACCAAAACAAACCCGTCATCCTCACAACTGATGCATCTCAAAGTATATTTTAGGCCAACTTCATTCTCATGGTGAGATTTGGAATGATGTTTTTTAATTCATGTCTTTTGACCCTTCAAATATCTTCCTGTTCTGTTTTTAGGAACAAACACTATTGATTGATATCGTTTCCTTTTCCAAGTAAAATTATATGCTTAATGGTCACTTCCTATCACAGTCAACCAGTGTTATGACCCCTTGAAACTGAAGATTTGAAATGATTATTAATAAATAAGGGTTACATGCATACTGTCTCTCATGGGCATGTCTCTCTGTCAAAGGTTATAGGTTTGCTCATGAAATATTATGCATTGATGACGATGGGCATGTTGTGGTCGAGACTTTTTAATGAGGCTGAGTTATTTTTTGTGTATTCGATATTTATCGCCATCTCCATCAACAACAACCTTAAGGATTTGGCTAGACTAACATTTAGTCTCTGAAATCTTATATTACACAATATCCTTCTTGACTCTAAAAATAAAAATAAAATTCCCTATTTAGTCTCTGAAATCTTATATTACACAATATCCTTCTTGACTCTAAAAATAAAAATAAAATTCCCTATGCTGATGTAGGCATTTCTAGATTATGTTTTTTTCATAAAATAAATATATTCCACGGTCATGGTGCAAGACTAGGATTTGGCACTCGTCCCTCGAATGGCCATGAAAACAATGTCCCGACATCACTGAAGTCACAGCTTGTCAAACTTAATGAAATTCATTTCAGAACACGCACAATTAAGAAAATCATGCACAAACCACTATTTCTGGGTCACAACTGTATCGTGGCTTTGAATCCGTGAAATCTTGAAAATGACACGTCAAATCATGCCGCCTCCCCGTGTCAATATAGCTGACTCATCTGCAGCCTAAAAAGCGGCTGTTCAGTCATACTCGGCGTTGTTGCCGTCATGGTAGAATGGAGATAAACCTACTTAGGGTTAAAGCGCTCGGTTTCAAATCAAAATAGGTTTATCTCATATATATATACGTGTCGACATGGTTTATTTTCACGATGTTCATATCGTGGCTCTTTTCATGACTATTTGGTGCGTTTCGATACACATGCACGGAGTTTAAATTTATTTATAGCCTAAGGGAAAGCCCAGACCTCTTGCTAAACTCCATACACCAACACGGAAATATCAGTGAGCAAATCCGTGTTACTTTGCCGAAATTATGCGATTACAGTGACTTTCTGCCGGTGAGTTATCGTTAGCTATTTATATATATAACACGTGCACAATGCGAATATTTGTTAGATAGGATATGGAATGCATAAGCGGTAACCGTAAACAGCTTTCCTTGGACTCCTAGAACGGGGCTGCGCAGTTGGCGATGCAAGGCCATTAAATTTTGTTTTTATTGGAGATGAATTTCACCGCTAGTGTAAACTACACGTACGTATGTACATACACATATTTAATAGCGTAATGTTCTGTTTGCCTTGAC